TCATCGGTCTCGAGCGTCCACCTTGAGCCCAGGTCATCACCTTTGAAGCGGACCCATAGCTTTGCGATTCTTCCATACTCAGACAGGTCCCGCAGGCGGGAACCTGTGGCTGTGCCGAACATCCTTCCGTCACCGATGATGACCACGTTGGTGGTGGCGCGGGCGATCGCAACGTTCACCCTGTTGAGGTTGTCCATGAATCCCCAGTCATGCCACTTGTTGGACCGAGTAGTCAGGTATATGACCAGGTCGGCCTCGCCACCTTGACTGGAGTCGATGGTGGAGATGGTGAGCCTGCCGCTTGCGAGATGCTCCTCGGCGAGCTGCCGTAGTCCGGGGGAGCTTAGGGCGAGGCCGGTGAGAGGAGCACTGTGCTGTACGAACACGCTTGCGCGGTCCCTGACGTCAGTGGCGCATGTGAGGGGGTGGGAGGGGGGTCCGCCGTCCTGGGCTGACCATGCCTTGCCCTTCCCTTTGCCCATGGCCTTGGCATGTCCGAGGGCGCCACTGATGCTTCTCCCCGACTGGGGCCATCCTTTTCCAGGACTGCGCGCTGCAGCTGATAACCCACCACGACCCGCGCAGTTGCGCCGTTGTCAATGACAGGCAGGAGCGCGCGCACGATGTCCACAGCCTGCGCGGCCTCCGGCAGGTTCGCGCACCCTGCGTGGAGCCGCGAGGTGACCTCGAGGGAAGGGTTGTCGACAAGGAGGAACCGGCGCCGCTCTTCCTCGCGGTGGGAACCTGGCATAAGGTCCCGTAGCATCTTCTCCATGTCTTCCTTGGGGGTGGCCGCGGCCTTGGCAAGTGCTTCAAGCCTGTCGCTGTCCCAGGGCCGTAGCTTCTGCCATGGTAGCCCCTCGATAAGGGGCATCCGGGTGAAGGGGCCAGTGAGTCCAGAGCGCATTAATTATATTGTTGTAGAAGGCGACGTTCGGCCACGCCAGGAGCAGGGGGCGCATGCGGTAGCAAAGGCTTAGCTGAACCACGGCTGTTGTTTCGCCCCATGGCGTTGCGTAGCCGATCGAAGATGGAGAGGCAGAGCCCGAGATCGGCAGCCTTTCTGGAGAGGACAGCGGGGGGGTCTCCGACCAGCACCAGGTGCCCACCTGAGCGGATGGCGCTGTCGAGCGACATGGCGGCCATAAGCTCATGGGCTTGCCCTGCTTCGTCGACGATGAGCAAGGGTAAAGGAGCAGCATTCCTGAGGGCCTCCGCGGATTCGCGCGCTGCAAAGATCGCCTTGGCGGCCTCGAGGAGCTGGGAACGAAATGCAGAGAATTATTCGGAGGATCCGCCTTCGGATGGGAGCCCACCGCGTGCCCTGAGGAAGTGCCCTCCCGGGGTGAGCGAGGCAAGTGCCTTCGCCACTCGGTAGTCTCTGGCCAGACGGACGCATCTGGTAGGGTAGCCTGTATCATGCCCTAGTCTGTTAGCCTTGTGTGCGCTGCCGAGACCGAGAGCTGGCTGATCCGCGGCTGCGTTGTAGCCTGCAGTAAGCGCAACCGCTTGCCCTTCGGGGAGTGCGTCAGCCCAGGTGCCCATGGTGGCGACCGAGAAGACTGTCTTGCCAGTGCCAGGGGGTCCGTGCACGACTGTTACGTGGTGTTGCGCGGTGGCGGCGAGGGCCCGCGTGGCGTCGCCGTTGAGCTGGCGGCGCTTGGCGCCTTCCTCTAGCGCCGCGGTCGAATGTAGATCCCTGGCCCGTTGAAAGACCTGCCCAACTGCATTGTCCACTTCATGGTCGGAGAAGGGCGCGATGGCCAACGCCTCGGTCGGATGATGCGACGCTGCTACGCCGCTGCCCGCCACTGTGGGCGCCATGCCAGGGGCCTGGACCTCGATGGTGGCCTTGGCACGTGAGAGGAGGGTTTGCCCGCAGAGTAGGGTGCTCTCCACGCTATTTGCCAACGTATTGTTCTTCTTGTCGGCAGTGCGGAAGGTGAGGAGCTACGTGATGACGTCCAGCGGCGTACCAACCAGGCATGCAGGGGCCTGCTGCAACTTGTAGATCTCGGTGATGGGGGTGGAGATCCGCCGGCACTGTAACCGGAGGGGCGCCTTGTCCAGTCTGTGCCAAGCTATCCCCCATTCACTTGGCCTTGTGGTCCTGTCGTCGGCGTGAAACTTCCCGTATCTATCTTCGTCGTAAGTCGCAAAGCCCTCGTTGCTGGGGTATTTGGTTCCCCGTCTGAGACCCAACGCGTCGCAGTCGCTTGCGGGGACAGCACCTCCGAATTCGGGTGGCCACAAGAGTTTGAGCGAGGCCACTTGGCCCGCGGATGGGCTGGTGATGCCGGGGAGTAGCGCGCGCGCTTCCTGCCCTGATTCCTGACCCTTGAGGAGGACCTTGAACTCTTGGGGCCATTGCCGGTGCAGCGTCAACTTCCCCTTCTGCGCGGGAAGTGCATTCCGCGACTTGAACTGACCGAAGAGTTCACAGGGTGACTGCTCGTCAATGGGGGAGACGGACACGCCCAGCGCGCAGCTCTGCCTTCTCACCAAGTCTGTTTTGGCCTTGGTGGGGCCATCCCAGACGGTTTCAGTGGCCGCCATGCACTCAGTCTCAGCCAGCCTGTCGAGGGCGCGCCCTCTTTGTCGTAGGTATTGCCCCCAATGTCTTGGGAGCTTCACGCCCGAATGGACTGAGCCAGAGGGGGTGTGAAGGAGATACTGGGCTGCTGCGTTGCTGGTGGGGACTGCAAAGTCGGGTGATGGCGTCCGCTGCTGCAGCCGCTGATGACTCGAGCACTACCTTTCTGCTCACAGAGGGGGGGGGCGTCTGGCCAGCTGTGTTGGCCCGTATCTCCGCCGCGCCTGGGCCTGGTCCATTCCGCTGATTCCTGCGAGGCGGCCCTGCTGGAGGCATTGTTCCGTCCCTCCCACGGGTGTCGCGAGGCGGGGGGCCCTCCGAGCGGTGCATCGCACGCGCCGCGCTGGGGCGGTGGCGGCGGCACCGTGGCCCACCAGGCTCTCCGCGCGTCTCTGGGCGCCTTCCCCCATCCCGCCTGGCACTGATTAGGCGGGCGCAAGTCCATCGAGTGAATGGTGTCGGGGGGGGGGGGGGGGAATCGAACAAGTCGTCGCGGCACAGAAGTTGAGCGGAACGTAATCCCAGACGTCTGGGAAGGTCCAACCTGGCAGGTGGGGCGGTGGGGCAGGGTTCCTCCTTGACTGGGTCTGGCAGCGCCCAACCGGGCCACTGTGGTCTGCTGAAGGTGCTCTTGGACACCTGGTCGTAGTCCTTGCCACCCGTTCTGGTCCAAAGTTTGCCTGGCGAGGTGTACTGCCTTGGGTCCGGCCAGCCAGTGTCTTTCTGCTTTCCTGCTTCGACTGCATGGGACCATCCCAGGAGATGCTCCTTGCCGTCACACTGTCTCTGGCACACCTCGCACCACCAGCACAATTCGCCGTAGAAGTGTGCCCAACGGAGCCACGGGCACTCGCGCGCACGGAACGGAAGACGGCCGTCAACCTTGCCCGGTCCTCCAGCGCAGGGGGCTGTGGGGGAAGGCCAGCGGGCCAGTGGCCCGTTGTTGTTCCTCTTCGTCATCCTGCAAGAAGGGGGCGCAGCCGAAAGCCGCAGAGCACTGGTAAATGATGGGGGGCGGCAACTGGCTTGAGCCAAGGCAGCGGGGACCTCAGTTGGCGCGGGGATCGATCGATCGGCGACCAGATCGGAGGAGAGCCGGGGTAGGGGAGGAGGGGGAAGGATTTTCCAGCTGGAACGCAGCAGCAGCACACTCGGAAGGTTCTCAGAAGTTGACCTCCGGTCCGTCATGAAACGGAAAGTGAGCTGGTCGGGTGGGGGCGTCACTCGCCCATTGTATGTGAGTGCTGACCTTGCTCACGCCTTCTTTGCAAAGGGCGCCGGCCCAGTAAACCCCGATGGTGGCGAGGCTGTCGGCGGCCTTGTTCAGCCTCCGTCTGACCGCTTGCCACGTGAGAACCCAGCCTGCACCTTCCGCCTGCCCTAGGGCATCCTCCATCTGCCGGGCTAGGTGGAGCCTTCGGTATCTGGCGGTACCCGCCCCGTATCGCACGGCGGCGAGGTTGTCGCCGACCACTATGGTGGCCTGGAGCGGGCCCCTGAGGTGGGGGAGCAGGGCCAGACCAGCACGGCAACCAGCAACTTCGGCCATCTGCGCGCTGCCAGTGTCTGGGAGCGCTACAATGGCAACGGCCAAAACTTGGGGAGAGCCAGTGGTGGGGTTGTGGTGCCACAGGATGGCCCCAGCACCCGAGACCTTGGTGGCGCCCTCAATGCTCCTAGCACCACCATCGAAGGAGACCTCATAGGGCCATTGGGTACTAGTGGAGTCGGGGAGGGCGAGCTGCGAACTGTGATTTCGTCGCCAGGTTCCAGGCTAGAGTTGGCGGTCAGGGTGATGGTATGAGACCTGCACTACCGGCAGAAGACGGAGGTCCAGCTGGCGGTAGGAGTGTCGTCAGTTCTGGGGCAAGGGAACCAGCCTTGCCCAGGGGGCATCCATGCGGCCCGGCTGGTGGGGATAATTTTTGCTTTACAGCCGCAGGCGGAAGCGCCAGCGGCGGGCGGTCGCGGGCGGGCTGCGGCCGCGACTAGCGGCGGGCGCGCGCGAGGCCGCGGTCAGGCGGCACGCAGCAGCGTCCCAGGGCGTCAGAGCCAGCGTGCAATCCAGGGAGTCTGCAGAACAGCCCCTGAACGAGACATGCAACGGCGCATCCAGGGAGTCTGAAGACAGGCACCGAGGAAACCGAGCGGCTGGTAGGGATAAGCGAAGCGACAAGAATTTGCGAGGGGAAACTGTCAGGGGGGATCAGATCAGAGGGGAAACATCGATACGTCGCCGACAGATCGGCGTTAGCCCCCCGATAGCAGACCCGAACGGTCCTGGGCGGGGTGGGCTATCGGCCCCCTATCGGCCATCAATCGGCGCTTCGGGGTCGTTGCACCTCCCCCTGAGCCTATCTCCCCCTGACCTTGCCCCTGACCTCCGAGGGCGGAAGAGCCCCCCGACCTGTGCGGCGTGCGGCGGCGGCGGAACCCACGGCGCCGGCGCGGCGGGGCCTCGCGCCGCTGGCGCGGGCGCGGACCTCGCGCGGGCGCCCGGGGGCTCCGACTCCGGCGCCGCCTCGCGATACTCCTCGGGCGGCTGCAGCTCTGAGGCACAAGCAGGCACGCACGATAAGAAGACCTTGCTACCAGATACCCGGGGGCACGCCCTCCGCCGACGCTGAGCTCCGCAGGGCGCCCCAGGGCTCTGCGGGCCGCTCGAGAGGCAAGAACCTCTCGTGGGGCACCCGTTGCCAGGCCGGCTTCTTCGGTGTGCCCCCATGCAGGGGGGCGCCGGCTGTACACCTGCACCGATCCCTGGCTGGGCCGAGTCTAGGCCTTTGGGACCTCGTGGGTGAATCTGGGAGCGTCTTTGTGGCCTATTGCAGTCTCTTGGGGCCGCTTGGGGCGTCTCTTGGAGGCATCTTGGAGCTCTCGTGGGGATCATGCGCAAGCCTCGGCAGCGCATCGGAGGCGAAAATGCGAGAACGCAAAAAACATATGTACATGTGCTTGTTTTAAGTTTCTCACTGATCTGGGCCTCTCAAGGGTTTCCTTTTGGGCGGTGTTGGGGGCCGCTTGGAGGCCTCTTGGCACTATCCTGGGCGGTCGCGGGGAGTTTCGTGGCCGTCGGGAAGTGTCCTGAGCCGTCTTGGGGCACTCTTGCCTGTCTCGGAGCCGTCCTGGGCCGTGTCGAGGCCCTCCTGGGGCTCCCTGGGAGGCCCTGGGATTTGATTTGTTTCTTGGTTCGATATATGATCGCGTCTGCACGGCTCTGGCAGAGCTACTGGGGCCTGCCAGGAGGCCTCTTGAGGCCTCTTAGGGGCCACTTGGGGGCCATTTGGGGGCCTTTGGGGACTTCTTCTGGGTACTGAAGCGCGTCTTGGGCCTGCTGGTGGTCTCGGGGTACCCCTTGGGGCCGAGGGCTCGACATCCCAATTCGAGCTTCCATTCTTTGACTCCACTGGGGGCCCTCTGACGGCCTTCTTGGGCCGTCTCGGGCGCTTATTGGGCCGTCTTGGGACCCTCTTGGGACATCTCGGGGCCGTCTTGGGAGCCTTCTCTTCGGAGCCTCTCGGGCCGTCTTGGGTTGATCTGGGAGGCCGCTTGGCCCGTCTTGGACGCCATGAAGGCCGAAAAATCGCATATGCTAAAGATGTATGTATTCCTTTGGGAATGGGACGATGCTTGCCGCTTGGAGCTCTGTCGGTTGGAGGCCTCTAGGACCGTCTAGAGGCCATCTGGAGCGTATTGGACCCCCTCTTCGACCGTCTGAAAGGCCTCTTGGAACCCTCTAGGCCCGTCTTTAAGGCAAATTTGGGGGGCACCCTGGGGCCGTCTGGGGTCCCCCCGGGGCGTTCCGGAATCAGCCTCCCGGCCAGGCCGGAAATCTAGGCGGATCCGCTGCCTATGTGAATGGGTATTCCTGGGAAGAGAAATTACCCCAGTGCGACCCTACCTAGAAGTTGGAGCCCCTAGGAAAGCAGCATTAGTTGCTATGCTATGCTATGCCATGCCATGCTGTGCTGCGCTGCGCTGTGCTGTGCTATGCTATGCTATGCTATGCTATGCTATGCTATGTTGCGCTATGCTGCGCTATGTTATGATATGATATGCTACGTTATGAGATGATATGATATGATATGCTAGGATATGCTAGGCTAAGCTAAGCTAAGCTATGCTAAGCTATGCTATGTCATGCTGCGCTGTGCTATGCTAAGCTATGATATGCTATGCTGTGCTAAGCTGCGCGATGCTATGCTATGCTATGCTATGCTATGCTATGCTACGCTGTGCTATGCTGTGCTGTGCTGTGCTGCGCTATGCTATGTTATGCTATGCTATGCTGCGCTATGCTATGCTATGCTGGGCTATGCTATGATATGCTGTGCTGCGCTATGCTATGCTACGCTATGCTATGCTATGCTGTGCTCTGCTATGCTAAAACTCAGCGAAGCTGAGATGACGGTAAGCTAAGCTAAGATGAACCTGAGCTAAGATGAAGCTAAGCTAAGCTAAGATGTAATAAGCTAAGCTAAGATGAGATAAGCAACGCTAAGCTAAGGGGACGTAACTGGGGGAACCGCGGGGCGGATGCCGGGGGAACCGCCCGGGGCGCATTACACTGCCCGGCTCCTTTAAGCTCACCGAGTAAGAAACCTTCTAGGCAGAGCCTAGGTAGGGAAAAACACGAGAAATCATGATAGTAAAACTAGTGACAGAAAAAGTGATGAAGGTAGTACTGGTAGTAGTAGTAGTAGTAGTAGTAGTAGTAGTAGTAGTAGTAGTAGTGGTAGTGGCAGTAGTAGTAGAAATAGTAGTAGTAGTAGTAGTAAAAGTAGTAGTAAAAG